CGAGCGTACTACTCGCGGGCTTGCCTTGAGCTTCCCATTATATTTGGTCCTCCATAGATTATGTTCACAAATACCTCGTTGGGGTTTGGTAGAACCTACTGACGCGGGGTCTGTATTTGGCTTGGGACCGGGTTACTTTGCTCGTTAGGATTCTCTCGGGGTGGTTCTGCCTTAACAAACTCTTTCAAATGACCTCTTCTTATCAAGTCATCGATGACGTCCTTCAAAGCCCAGAAATCATTCGTATTGTGCCCCACATCCCTGTGATACTGGCAATATTTTTGCCAATCTCTTCTCCCTAGAGCCCCCCTCATTCTTTTCGAAGCGGACAACCTCTTCACCTCCCAGGATACCTCAAAGATATGGGCGATGTCTTGAGTAAGAGGGGTGTATTCTGCATACCGCGGGAAAGGTTGCCTGACACTACGGTTATCCATTCTCGGTTTCTTCAGGAACATGTTACGATCCTTGTCGCTTCGATCCTGGCCCCCACGCTTATTAAAGGGCGATCTTGTCTCTTGTCTGAGACCCCCCGCATTGAGCTTCTGGCTAATGTCACTAACGAGCTTTCTACCTGTTGGTATTTTACGGCCATTTGGTAGAATTTAGCCAGGCTCACATGGTCTTCGCTTTGGAGCTCCTTCCATAGCTCCGTGTTAGGCCTGATCCCTACGATCAGGAGAGTCAGAATGGATTCTTTGGAGGCATCAGTGACTTTTGCCTGCTCATTTTAGAACCTCGTCAGATACGAGGTTAGCGATTTGTTGCGCTCTTAATAAATGTTGCTCAAGTAGCTGAGCGGCATTGCGAATTGTTTCTTTGCCTAAAATTACTACAAATATAGCGCGGAGAATTGTTGCCAGGAGTTGATGGAGTTCGCCTTAAGTCGTTTGTACCACCTCTTGGCATCCCCGACTAAGGTGACGAGAAACGCCGGCATTTCGCTAAGTCATTGACCTGGTGCAGCTCCATCAGGTCATGAAAGTTGTCGAGGTGATCTTTGGGGTCCATTCTCCCGTCGAACTTGCTCTCTGGTGCCCTGAATCCTTGTGGAAGTAGGGCCTGGCGAACTTCCTTCGTAAAAGCGGAATTTACTATTTCCTTTGCCAGGTTATTCTGGCGAGTTTTTAGATCGTCTAGTATCTTTTGCATGTGATCTAGGTCTTTATTTAGGTTCCTCTAGTTGGCTATGTTGAGTTGTACCTCAGGCAAGTAGGTTTGTAAGTCTGTTGCTTGCGAAGCCCCTCCGAGGCGTGCATGTTCACATGAGGTTAAGTCATAATGGCTAGGTTAGTAGGTGTTATCAAGCTCATCAGTGCGTTGCTCGCGACGTCGGTCATGACCGAAATGTTGGTCATTGGCAGAATGACAATCTTATCTTGGGCGTGGGTTAAAACTGGCATGCTGATTTTGGGGATACCGTCGCGCTTCTCGATGATATCCGTCGCCTTCACTTTCCCTCATTGGCTGTTTCCCTGGCCGCCATCCGGGGTTTGTTTGCCCACGAGACTCTCGCTCATGCGTGAGGGTTGCCTGCAGGGTTGGCGTTGTTGGTCACCCCCTAGCAGTGACGAAACAGATTGTCGACCTGTAGAGTTCATACCTATTGGGGTAATGTTTGTGAAGCATGGCTGGTCGGGATTTTGGGCGACTGGCTATTGGTTCCTCAACTCAGCCACATTCTGTTGCATCACCTCTGCAACCATTGTTCTGATCATCTCCATTAGCTGGTCGTTCTCGGGATTTGATGTCCCTACCCCTTGATTGTTCGCGACGTATTGGGTCGATGGCACCGGTGGTCAACACCCAACGTTCTCCTATTGCACCTCCTGGTGGGCAGCTTCTATGTTTTCATGATTTCCGGTTGTAGTTATTGATCTGGTGAACACCTTGTCCCAAGATGGGTAAATCGTGATGAATGTTTGCTGGGATCTTTGAAATAGCGGTGGAGGCCCTCCTTCTAGCACCAAAATGTTGACACAGATCTGCACCAACCAGCGAGATCCAGTCAACCTTGTAGGGATCGGAACAGGTGTTGCGTGATTATGGGTAATCAGCTATGAGTAAGCAAAAATGCTAGAAAATAAATGGCAAGAAGGACTTGTAAAGTGGTTCGGCAAAGATTAACAGTCTACGTCCACTGTGTTGTGCTTATTTGCCATGAAAGCTTAAAATATAACTTCTAAACTAGAATTTGGTATCCCTTTCCTTATCATTTTAGGGCATATATATATATATATAAAAGATTTACATAAAGGAAAGAACGAAAATAAAGGGATTACAATTGATTGGGACTGCAACTCTGATATTCTCTCAATTAGCAGCTAAGATTAAGCAAAGATCGCTGTTAATCTGATCATTCCCATGATATCTAGGATTTGAAGTTATCTGGGAATTGATTGAATGATCATTCGGGTTCTCCGCGACTAGCTTGTGCTGGGTCGAGCTATGGCTATGCTGGGTCGATCAATCATAGTCATCGAGGTCATTCTAGGTCAAGCTATATCCTCATGTCGACCCAAGCTTGGCGGAAAAACCACACACAACACCATGTACAAGTAATTATATGTTAAAACATATTTAAATGACGGCATACACATTGATGCAAGACTAGATGATAACCCAATGCAATTTGTGGGTTTGTATTTAAATTCTTCAAAGCAATTTTTTATTCCTATATATTGCAGGACCAAGTGATCTATTCTACGGTGTAAACAACGAAGGAATCAGCAGCGTTGTTCCACAAAAAATGTTTCAATGAATCTTTTTCCATGAAATGCCATTGCTTGTGGCTCCATTGTTTACACTGTTGAATAGATTGTCAAGCGATCTATTCAATGGAATTGAATGTCGATGATGTTATCGAACTCGTTGCTAGTTGAACATCGCAAGTCGCTGCTGTTTGATGACCTCGTCGACCACTTTTCATTCTTTTCAAATTATTTTAAAAAAATATAATAAAATATATATTATTTTAACATTTTTTTAATGTTCATGTCTTGCACAAAGTGGACCTAGAGGGTGAGGATTTAATTTTAAGAAATAGTGTAGAGTTTTAAAAATTTTAGTTCAGTCCTAAGTTACCTAAAATCACACCGAACATGGAGCAACTTTAAAATAATGCAATCCCACCCTTTGATGCAGTCCAATGTTGTCAACCAAACATACCTTAATATGACTAAAATACTAATAAGATTGAGTTAGGATTTGCTTTATTAATTATTATTCCAAAAATCCTGAAGTGATGAACAAGTTTGCATCCATGCCTCTTCAACTGTTATATATTGACATTTGGGGTCAAACGTTATAATGTGTGTAATTTTGGTCTATTGTCAAACACATTTCTCCTGTTTGTTTAACTTTTTAAAACTCTATTCTATTATCCTATTTAAAGTAAACAATAAAATACGTATTTGTTTTAATATTGACAGAATTTAATTCAAAATTCAATCCTATAATATTCAACTTAAAACATTTAACAATTATCTTTCACAATAAAAGTGTATAAATTAACAAAAACACTCCCACCCACCTAAGCCACTGTCAGTCGCTAGCAACCATCGCGACTGCCACCACTGGAACGACGCATGATCGGTTGGATCTGGCCGATCATGCATCGATCTGGCTATTTCCAGCCAGATCTATGGCCAAAGATCTGGCCATTAATGATGGTCATATCTTAATCGTCATTGACAGCCAGATTCTGGCCGTAGATCTAGCTGTTTCCGGCCAGATACATAGTGGATAGAGATTAGCGCACGATCGACCAGATCCAGTTGGTCGTGAGCCATTCCGGCGACTATCGGCATCTATCCAGCTGTGGTAGCCGGCTGCCAAATTAATAGAGCACGAGCATTTTTTACTTTTCAAAAATAAAACCAAAACATTAATATAATAATAAATAATTTATCTAAAACTATAATTTATTTTACTGTAACAAATTCCTAAATCTAAATCATTTCAACAAAATAATTTATTAAATATACAAATATATATAAAATCTAAAACACATTTACAACACCTAAACCACAACCCAACCCAAAGTGAATATTCTCTTTCAGATCCTTGCCTTGGTTGAACTTGTCTTTGATTGGGATTTCGAGTCACCAACCATGAGAACCTTTTACCAGCGGTCCATATTGTCTTGCTAGACCTCTCTTCTTCATTGTTGGCAACCCTGAAGTTAAGGATTGAATAATCTTCCAGTGGTCATTCCTTTTAGCAACCAAGGGGAATCAAACTCAAGACCTCCTGAATAATATGAAAGCGAGAAGAATCGAACTCAAAACTTATTAAGTGATACATCTAAAATCTCTATTCGACCACTTGACCAGCTAAGAATTGGTGGAACTCAACTAACTCCACTCATTGCATGAGTGAATTGTAAGTTATCTCCTGTTTTGAAAACACCAATTGACAAACATTACCTAGCAATTGTTACAAATGTATCACTCCCTATAATCTTAGAGTTGGGTCGACTTCAATTCACGCTTGTACAGTAAGAGAAATCTAAAATAATTAACTTTTAAAATCGGGTTGCTAAATTAATTGGAAATTTGGCATTATGCTAACAAGAATGGACAATGCCTTCAAATACAATTATGGAGTTTTTGTTTTTACTCGAAGTTGAAGTTGAGATAAAAGGCATGGACTTTCGCTTGCCAAAATGAATTTTAACTTCATTTAAAAATTTCAACAAAATCAATGCTGTAGTGGGTAGGCAATCAAACACTTGAGGATTATATTGGTTAAAATCCGTTCAACAGCTTGGAGCTTGCAGTTGTGTACGCACAAAATGAATACTTATGTAAAGGATGCTATTAATTCAATAACAAAATTGTGATTAACTTTAATTAAAATTAATATAGGATACCAATTCAAACCAGAAATTAAACTAAACAATCACTTCCCCATGCAGCATTAACAAATTTAAATATTTTTATTTATTTTTCTTTTATTCATGAAACTATTTACAATGACACATCAAACTATTGCCAACGTTATTCATAATTGGAATAAATTAAACAACATCGAATTATTCGGGTGTAATATAATACATACACTAATTAATTAAATATCCTAATAATGCAGTCCAGAGTGCTCCATCAATCCTTCTGCAAGCTGACATATATCACCAGTGAAACCTGAAATAAGTTAATTAAAGGAAATAGTATGGTGATTATTAAATTAAAGACTTGATATACATTGCGACAAACTTTCATATATTCTCCGAATTCACTAGATACTATAAATTATTGAAACGTAATTAGTTGATTATTGTCTTACCTCAATTTGATTCAACTGCTGTCCACATCTTCATTGACCCACTTGAACTCCATTAATTATCTCCTAATCATTCTCATGGGCAGCGCGGTGAAACAAATCCAATTTCATCCAAATCAACATTGTTGCAAACAGCTTGTGCAGTATGATCTCCTTCCTCTTGTAGGTTTATGTTTTGCAGCACAATCGCTTGACATGGATGACTCTTACTGCAATCAAATTTCACTGCCACATCCGTAGCACTTGTTCCTTTTATGTTTTTGTACACAACATTTTTCACTTGCACTGCTGAATTCTGAGAAAATAATAATAATAAAATCAATCATTCATATAATATTATCAATTTTATTACTCATTTCCGAAAATATTTGTACCTGTTCTTTGCACGGTTCATCTCGGTCGCAATAATTTTGATCGATTATTATGGGATTGGAAACATTAAACATGTAAATGTTTTGAAATTTGATGTTGCTTGCACTCCCTGACCCTCCCTGCATTATGTATATAAAGTATGAATGGTTATATATACGTGCATGACTAGTATTTATATAAATGTATTTTCATGCATTATTTTACCTGCCACGTCTTGATCCTAACCCCATTTGTTGTTCCAGAAAGTTTAGCTCCATTCACTGTTACTCCAGAAACATAATCTTCTGAATTGTTGTCTCCCAGGCTTCCAATACTGAACTCACCATAAAAATGAATAAATTTACAAGACAAAATAAAACTAATATAGAAATTTCCAAAGTTTAATAAAAGTACCTAATTCCATGACCTGGTCCGCAAGTTATGTCTTCAGCTTGCACATTTTGGGAACCGCTTACGATTGAAATACAATCATCACCTTGAAAAATAAAATTAAGATTTATCAAATTCAAATAAATATATTACAATTTATTTATTTGGAGACATTAATATTTAATTTGTATGAGTAGTGTATACCTGTTCTTATTGTAGAGCTTGTTATTCTTATGTTCTGGGTAGCAGTAATATGAATTCCATCGGTGTTGGGGCTATTCCTTGGTGCCGTTATCATGAGATTAGAAGCTATAACATTTGTTGTCTTTTTAAAAGAAACATGAATTTGCTGCGAATCTTTGATATTCAGATTCTTCACCATCAAATTTTTGCTTCTATAGAAAGTCAGGGCCTGCCAAGACATATATAGTTAAGTCAAACAATTACATGTTTAGTTAATTCCAAATAATTCACTCAGTAGTCTATTGTTTTATGCAAAAATATATACATACCGTTGGTGCATCTTTACAAGGCTGCAAAATAGTCATGAAAAGAAGAAAAAGAAAAAGAAAAAGAAAAATTAATAAACCTAGAATAAAGCAATCAATTAATCAAGTTTATGAGAAATTTCGAGTTGATAATTAATGAGTGACTTACAAGGGATTTATCGATTTTGCAGGAGTTTTGCCACCAAATCCTCCCATTGCCATTTATAGTTCCACCACCTTCCACTAACAAATTCTGAACATTATCAAACAGAAGCCAATGCCTCCCATCTTTCTTGTAGTCTGATTGATCATCCGATGCTTCTAATGTTCCATGTATCTGCAGATAGTGATAGATTATTCAGTTAATTTTGTCCCTTATACAAGTCCTGAAACCTCGAAATGTTCTTTAATATAAATATATGCAACCTCACCTGAACTGTTAGATTTGGTTTGCAAGGACCCGAAAATGTAATTGGCTTAAGCCGATACGTTTTATCCTCGGGCACCACAAGAACAGCTCCTTTTTGTGAACAAGCTTCTTGCCACGCCTTTTTAAATGCCTGAAATATCTCATGCAAAAAAAAATAAATAAAAAAAAATTACGACATGTTGGCTATGTACATTTTAAAAATGCATGCATGAAAGCTATTAGTCTTATCATTTGGTAGCTAAAAAAAATATAAATATAAAACTAATCAATACTCAAAAGATGAATGTTTATTCATTGAAAAGACATATCAAATAAATTTTAAACCAAACATTCTTCTCTTTATTCTATATAAATTGATATATACCTCAGTGTCATCAGTTGATCGGTCGCCTTTAGCTCCAAAATCATCAACGTTAACAGTAGTTTTAGCCGAGGAAATTGTACCGACATTTTTGGAGACCAAGATTTCGTTTCTCATGAGCTTGATCAAGTACTCCTTAAACTTTGCATCTTCAATGGTGGTGAAGTATGAAGGATAGGCTTGAGAATAATGTCCATAACCATAAGCTTCTTGATGGTAATAATTATAAGGTGGGTCCTTAACAGAGAAACAGAAATAGCTTGAAATGAAAGAGAGGAAGATAATAGAAAACGTGAAGAAGGGATGTGGATGTAGCAGTAGAGCCATTATTATTATAATCTTCTTTCTTTCAAGTAAACAAAGAGAGGAATAAAAAAGATAAAGATAGTTAGCTTGGCATGGAAGTGAAGAGAAAGAAATGATGAATATGGGCTATTTATAGAGAAGGAAAGGCTTGTAAATTGAGACAAAGAGTTTTGTTTAGGTGTCAGTGTACATGACTTTAGAGGGTATGGCTTGAGAAACGAGAGATTCAGACGAAAGGATTTCTCTCACAATTTTGCTCCATACACGCTTGTTGAAATTTAGAGATCTAGTAAAAAGACATATATACTTTTTAAATTTAAATTTAAATTTTTATATATATATCGTAGAGCTTTCATATGCTTTTATATATATTATGATTTATTTCTTATTCATGAATTCGATCGTTTTCTGAAAGAAGGAAAAAGATAAAAAGTGAAAACAAACTTCCAGGTTTGTGAAATCGGCAAGTAAAGGCACATCATTACAAATCAAGTCACCCCCAAATAAAAATGATATCTTTATTTTGTTATTAATATTTTTGGATACGCCTTCCAAAAATAAAAAAATTAAGCCAATTCTTTTTTTTTTTTTTTTT